TGTGTGTGTGTGTGTGTGTGTGTGTGTGTGTGTGTGTGTGTGTGTACATATATATCTATATGCATTTATATATGAAAATTGTTTAATTATATTTTACATATAATACATCAATAATTTCATTTTAAAAGTATTTACGTATATAAAATTTAACATATTTATAATTAAAGTTCAATTACTATAAATAAAATCTCAATATTATATATATTTATGAAATACTTATTATTTGTACTGTTATCAAATATAAATATTGGTGCTATCCTTTGAAAACAAATGAGGATATAAGAGTGAAAGAATACAAAAAATTATATAATTTGCATATTGAGAATGTTTTCCAGAAAGAAAAATGTGTACTATTGTAGAATAAATAAAAAAAGACCAAAAATAGAACATACAAGGTATTAAATTCGTGTTAACACGTGAATATTTGAAGAACATTATTTAAACGTAAATTTTTCTTTCTTTCTATGTAATTACTATTAAAGAAACAGAAAAATAATTTTGTAGAAATTATATTGGTCCTGGACCATTGGCGCGTACACAAAAACATTTTGGTTTTACCGTGAAAGACTTCTTTTGAACAGAGGAAAAAGAAAGAAAAAAAAAGATATTCTCAAATATTGAATTTTAATCATCCGAATCATCATGCAAGAAATTAGTATGACCTGAACGAAGGGCGAGAGTGGGGAAAGGGGGAGCAGAAGGAAAGCAGACGTACATACGGACGCCAGAAAAGAGCGGGGAGGAAGGGAGATTAGATGAACGGTGAAAAGTTAAGGGATTGAACGCGGGTAAAATCAAGATGCAAAAGAGAGATGCTATAGTGATACTAATTGCAAACAATAATTTTTCCAGTTAATTAAAGGTATGCGACTCTAAAATCAACGCGTGGTCTTATCAGCCGGCGAAATGTGTATGGTTATTTTACCTCCCACCCGGTACATGTTGGCCGTCATGTTGCTGGCGTCCTGTGTGGCCCCGAGAGCGAAATTAGCGTTCTCGTGGTTACCGTGGTTCTCGTGGTATTCGGCCGGCATCGGCATGAAGGCTTTTCGTCCTCCAACTACGCGAATCTATTAGCCGACACTTCCCACTTATCCACGGAGTTAACACTTCGCGGTGTCACTCCATCGTGTTTGTTTGTCCCTAATCAAGGAAAAAATTTCGCGCTAGTTTCTATTTTATTCGCATCGACTCGTTTCCTGGTACAATATAACACTGAACGATATTCGTAAATGCACACAAGATATGTAAAAATTCCACACTCAATTCGGTTCACGTGTCCGTTACCGTAACGAGCATCGTCAGTGGCCGTTGCTCCGTTCATACGGGAACACCGCCATTTTCATTTTGCCGAGCGGGCTACATATAAGATCAAGCAATACTGCCTGCTCCCCTCTATCGGAGCTGGGTTCACTTGCTTTCTTCAAACCCGCGTGCATTCAAAACTCCACTGAGACATCTGCTCGCATTCCTTACACCTTACTCATTCGTTCTGTTTCATTATGAAATTCTACTTTTACAAATTTTTGATAGAAAACACGTAATCAGAACGATACAACCCGGTCAACGAATACCACAAAACAAGGCCACGAATCGGATACTACCAAGATCCGACGATTGCGCGGTCTCGAAAGCGTCTGCGTTACCTTACTGAAGAGTGGGGATAACTAAACGATAGAGTGCCAATTTGTCAGCGCACTCTCTGATATACCCGCGAAATTTAAGTTCTTTACTGTATTTCTTATTATTTGTAAGATGATTTTTGTTTAGGAAGGATAATTGTTTTTATTAAATAAATATATATTTACTTTGGATTTAAATATATTTACAATAAAAGATATATTATAAAACCGAATAAACATAAAAATACATAACGTGACAATAAATGAAAAGCTCTCGTATAGTATGTGAAATATTTATATATTTACGAAATTAGTCTTTCTATACAATTGCTTACGCGCAGTCACATATTTCATCTGTTTCAATTAATAAAAAATGTATGTAAATGAATAATTAAAATTACTCACTACTTTGTAGAGCCTGTGTGAGCTTGCCTTTCGCGTAAAATGTTTGGTAATGCGTCTGACTAACAATAAATAGTGACGAATAGTCGATTTGATGGAAATACGTAACGCAAAATTATATTTATATATACACAGTAGTAATAGTAGTAATAATAATAATACATATTCATGAAAATGTTTATAATTTAATTTTTTGCAATTTAGGTAATCTTTTAAGGCACACCCCACGGTCTTTATCAAGCAATTTTGTTTTTTGTTCATTAATATTATATAAATAAATGTATACTGTTGTGGATGCTATTAACCTAGATTTATTATCATATTACTATTTGTAGGAATATTTATACTAAATATAGGTAATAATCTGTTCTGTACATAATCCTATGTCTTTCTTATGAATCTTTTAAAATGGATAGTCATATCATTTATTAATGATAATAATGACAGTAACATTAATAAGAATAACAAGATAATGTATAAATGAGATGCATAAGATGAGAGCATGCTCTTTTTTTTGTTCACCGTAGTATTTGTATCATGAGTAGTAAAAATAGTTAATAAAACTCAAATTTTATAATCATAAACTGTGAACACATTTATGGATTTCACATATAAAAACCATGATATTTTTTTCATAATTAACAAACACAAGAAAAAAAGGAAAAACCAGTGAGCATACATGACATAAAAGACAATGTACTACGTACATAATTTTAATTACAATTAAAATTGTATACTACTACTCATGATTTAATTTAACATTAATATAAAATACCTATGCCAACTTCGACAGTTTATGCATTTTATGTACAAGAATAGCATCCAGACTTCGTCTTTCAGGTTGCATATTTCTACTTACTATGATACTACTGTTTACGGATAAAAAAATACTAATATATCGCATTGTCGTTGCACGGGCAGTGTTTGCGCAGTTTTTGTCCATTGATAAGGCACCAACTTTTAGGATCCTGAGATTCAACCCGCATGCTTCGACAGATTTAGAGGCATATCTAAATGAAACATAAATAAAAATAATTATCTTTGCAATGTTTAATAAATATTGTACAATGTATTATTGAAAAGTTACCCGAAGGAGGTGTAAGAGTCTGTTCCCTGTAGTCTTTATAATGATGAACTGGAGGAGATGGAGGATGAGGTGGTGGTGGTGCATATAATGGCATAGGAGGTGGATAATGGACGGGTGATGGATAGTGCATCCATAAGGGAGCTCTATATGGTCCAGGAGGTAACATTGGTACACCATAAAGTGAAGGGTGCTGAAGAGGTGTATTAGCTGTACCAATGTATGGATCCATTCGTACTCTTGGATACGAATTACTTGATGAGTATTTCACAGTTTGTCTGTCATCTGGTTTTAATAAATTCCTCAAAAAACCTTGTTCATGGCTTGGTTTATCTTCACCCAAGATACTTGTTATACTATATGAAGATAATTGTTTTGATGATGGAGTAGGAGCTGTTGTTGTACAAACAGGCTGCGGTGTTGCGCGTCTTTTCGACGCCTGATCTTCTAACGATACTCTTTCTAATTCGCGTAATATACGTTTACGAGGTGATACAACATTGGGATCTAGAAGGCGTGCCAATTTGTCGATAATTAGGTTCAAAACCTTCCCTGTTGATGTACCATTTACTTTACGAATTGGTTTGGTATAATTTGTTACTGATTCTGGAATAAGTAACAAAGAAGTAGGATCTAATGGACGTCTACGTTTTCTGGCGACTAAACGAGGATGCGCGCATAGACGATTTTTTGGATTTCTATAATAGTAAAAATTAAACTCTGTAGATATTCTACGTCTTGGATTTGCTTGTTTCCAACAATGATCTCTTTGCCAAGGACTTGATTGAACTGATGAATTATCATCAGAAACTGTAAATGTAAATAAACCATTAGGATTATTAAATTTTACAGACAATATTATTGTACTTACCACTAAGAGAAGTAGAACTCTCTTGTCTATTCGGAGTCGTGCTAGCTGGTGGCCAAAAGGTTTTCTTTGGAACTGGAAACCATGTAGTCCTTTCTCCATCTCTACGATGGGATAGTTCCAAAATAAACTTTCCGTCTTTAAAAAATTTCAATCGTCCACCAGGAGTTGGAAGTAAATTATTATCAATACGTGTTTCTGAATGATGTGTTGATTGGGGATTTGAGTTTTTACCATTAGCCTTGGTAAGGGTTGAGTGTAATGTAGAAGGATCACGTGAGCACATTTCTGTTGTGCCCCTCACGTGACCTGCGTGAGCATGACATTCTGCTGACTTCTCACGCATGCTGATACTTTACCGATATCCATTTTTCTCCGCTTGACCTTTCATACTTTAGCCTCTTAATATCAGTTTAATGAAAGAGGCAAGACCTTAAGTAGGTCCTTCTCTTAAAGCTATGAATGGTAATTTTAGGAAAACTTGCTAAAGTATTTTTGTTTCACAGTTTAAGGACAGCATCTTTTATAGAAAAAACCACTTGATAAAACTTAAAACATCAGACACAACCAAAAGATAAATTGGTTATAGAAGAGAAAATACTTAACAACAGTATCAATAATAATAAAATATATGTTTCTTTCAAAACCAATAATGTTGATAATAACAAAGAGACCGGATCATAATGATCTTATTTCTTTAAAACTGTCAAACTGACATTGGTTAAAAATTGACAGTAAGAGCAGCGTTGCTCTAAAATTTAACTGATATATTTTTTTCTTATAGTTAAAAACATTTGTCTGAATAATGTGCCAATTAATATATATCAATTGTATAAAATAATATCGAATAAAAAAACACACTATCATTGGTCCAACAATAACATTTTGTGCAAAATTCCAAAAGGAATTTTCTATACATGAGTGGCAATCGCTAGACACCCACCCACCCACGCACTGCCGCCTTTTGCAATGAGTTCTATTTCATTTCGAAGAAGCGACTCGTCACGTTAATAGATGTATCCAAAACCAAGCACGTTGATATTTCGCAAATTATAATAACTGGCGTATACGTTGGCTTTCTAAACGGGAGATTTTCACGGATCAAACACGGGACGGGCACTCTACAGTAGAAAACACGGTTTGACCGACACATGTGTTTCACTTCACCCACAAATGGTTTACGTGTCCACGGCAATTGAGTTTATTCGTTCGATGACCCTTTAGAATGTGCATCTACCATCGTTTTCCTCGTGATTTTCGATGTTCGGATGTAAAAAAAAACAAGAATTTCTCGCCTTCGTGTATCCTTCTCGTCGACAACACTGTGGCGGTTCGTGGTCCGCGCGTTCCTCCGTTTCTTGGTCCAACTCCCACGATCAATCTGCAACACTTCCTTCAAACTATGGAGTTACGTCGAATCTGTTATATTCGATATTCAGAAAATCTAACTTGCATATCATTTTCAATTGATATTAAATGCATTAATCGATTTATACTGTTTAGATTACAGCAATAATGTACATTTCCATTTAATTTTAACTATTTATATGGAGTGACAATTTAGACTATACCATAGAGTGGTCTTTCAATTCTTGAAATTTGTTTATTTCGTTGTCGTTTGAATTTGTTTGCTCCTGATGGACCAATCAGATTCACGTTTTTTGATATGGATGAAGTTTGGCGCGCAATCACATTAATCACCGGTATAGTGAGAATTGATTGTAAATTATAATTCTTATCTTTAATTTTATATAGAATCTTTCAATGCAACTTTTAGAAGAGTATCAGGAACTTATTGAACGTGATGTGATTGAAATTTCTTGGTTGTGGAAATACATACAAATGTTTCTATATTTATCATGCGCGATGAATGGATATGCTTGTAGCGTTTTATTTTACACGTTATGGGTATAATTAATGATTGATTAAATTCGTTTCCTACCTTATTCTAGAAAATAAACTAAGTTATTTTATTATGACATATAAAGGAACAAATTTTCGGAGGTAACTGTCCACTTTGGGCAACAGCTATTCTAATGTCAACAGAAGAATTAGGATCAGATGATATTTTTGAAGTATGCAAAATTAATTCAAATTGGTGGAAATATATTCTTACTGATTATAAATACGAGAATAGATGTGGAATATATTTAATAACATCTTTTTCATCTTGCATATTTGGAGTTGTTTGGTTTACTTTATTTCTTATGTGTGGAAAAGGAGGGCACGATGTACCAATGCAAATGTATTATTTTCTTATTATATACATTAATCAAATATCAATTTAAATATGATTATATTTATATGCAGATATGAAAGTCCTTGGAGAATTATATTTCCTGCAATGTACTTTAATTTTGTATTTGCAATTATATCTATGTATGCACATTATAATTTAGAACAAGGGTATAAGGCATTTAATACAAATATAATACATATTTCTTCTGAAATATATAATATTTGCAAAGTAATTGTGGATATAAGGTATTAAACTTAATCTTACGTTATATATATAATTTTCACAGGGATTTACTTACAGTGAATGTGAAATCATGAGAATATATATGAAAATACATAACTATTACATGTATAATATGTGTAATATAATTTCATACCTTCAGGTAATATTCTATACATATTTTTTATTTTTTATAATAGAAAAAAAATCCTCAAATATATAATAAATATTCTACAGATTTTTTCAGTTGCAATGGTATGTAGTTGGATAGGAGGATTGATGGTGTTAATTTTGAGATCAATAATGGTTAATGATTTTAAAATTTTAAAAATTAGAATCTATGAAGTAAAGAAAAAATAGTTTCTCAATATGTTGTTTGCTAAGAAAATATTTATTGCTGTTATAAACATTACATATATTTTTATGTAAATTTGTACTATATAAGAATAAAATAGTAAAACTATATAATAATTTACTAGTTACATAATGATTTTATTCATAATAACTTCAATGCATAAATTTATATATATATATTTTGCACCAATAAGTTGTTACAAAAAATTGTAAGATATAATCTATATAATACTTGGAGTCACTTGTATGTTTTTAATATCATGATAAACATATTTGTTACAAACTGTTTTCTCAATATTTTATTAAACATTAATCTAATGTCTAATGTTAATTAAAAATTTGCTATTTTAATTTTCTATAATTCTACTAATAAATTTATAGTCATCTTAAAAATTTAAATCCTTTAATTACTTCTCTGGATTGGTACCATTGGTAGGGAACTTGTGTAATGCATATACTTGAATTATTTAAAAATTCTATGTCTTTGTCTACGTTAGTCTTAGATTCAGATACTTCATTGTAAACTTTCACTATATTTATACAATTACAGTTAATTTTTATTTCATCATTGTGCTGTAATTTAATGACAAAATAATTTGAAGTTTGAATGGGAGGCAAATATTGCGGTTTAGGTAAAAAAAACTCTGACACTGAATTACTGTCACTTTTGTGTATAAGTACAAAGGTATTTGTCGGATTTAATGGTAAAGTTAATGCATCTTGAAATTCAGAACATTCCAACATTGACCTAAAAATTTTATTTCATAATATCTTAATAAAAAAAAAAGACAGAATAATAAATATTATGTAAAGATTCTTTGTACTAACCTCATTAAGCTTAATAGAAATTTCCTAGAAGCATGTTTACATTCCAAATGTTCTTTGCTACTAAGAATATTGAATGGAAATTCGATTCTGATAAGCAATTTTGGTGACAGTATTGTAGCACCAATGAGTATAGCAATTTCTTTAATTTTGCAGTCTTTAAGATGAAATTGCGTATTTAATTGCTCTGACGTACTTTTTAAAGAATTTATTAATGTTCTTATAGAAGTCGAATTTCTGTCAGTTGGTTTCATTTTTAATTGAGACAATGAATCGTACGTAAAAGGTATTTGTTGTTTTTGATATAAAATATATTTTAGAAGCTCAATTACGAGTTTTACGCAACTATTACTTGTTAAAGGTTCATCTAACATTACGTTAATATTCATTTTGAGTTTTATTCTTTTAATGACGTTTCAAACTGTTTAAATATAACCTATTTTACAGACTTGTATTTTATATGATAAATCGAAAAAATATATATTAATAAATTTATGAACGCATTGTCTGCCCTTGTATTAAGAAGTTCATGTAATACACTCCTAATAATTTTTATAAATATGAACTCATTATTCACAATTAGAAAATGTTCTGTAAACGCGTCGATTACTACCAATGCTAAACTTACAAGGAGAGTGCAAATCCTTCGAGTCATTGATTTAGTTGAAACTTTGCAGGTTTGTAGATTTCGCCATGCAGTTCAAGAAAATATATCATTATAGGTACAATTACTCAATAATTTTTAAAATATTTATGATTAAAATTTTATTTCTACAGATTTATCTGCAAAAAGTTTCTAGTGGAATTTTGGCTTAATGGCGACATTGGAAAGTTCCTATGCTTGGAGGTCCAAGGTTCGATTCTCGTCCATAATTTATCATTTTTTTTAATCTATTTTTTATTTTGTATTCATTTTTCGCATACGAAAACATTGTAAATAAAATTTCTTAATAAAAAAATTTATTTTTTACGCTTTCTTATGCTAGTATATATTTGTTACAAAATAAGAATAATATGCAAAAGAAATAGTTTTCTATAGCAATCTTATTTACTATAGAAAGAACACGAAAATATAAATAATCATTATATACAGGAAATACAAAACCTATCGCTCATGTAAGTATTAATTATATTCTGACAAACATTCTAAACAGATTGGGGCAAAAATTATTCTACAGATTATAAAAATTATGATACAGATCAAACAGGATGCCAATACCACTCTATCTTTGACACAACTTTAACAACGAAAGGAGAAAAAGCTGTTGTTCTTAACATAAAAAGCATTAATAGAACTACCCATTCATACACCGCACAATACGCAATAACAATGTCAGGAAAATTACTACCTCGTATTTTTCTGTGCATGCAGGAACCCAAGTAACATTCTTATATAATTTTCGTACATAATTTGTTGTTAATTAGTTCGCTATTAATAATTATTTGATGGCGTGTGTAATTTGATAACATCGACGAGCACAATTGTTCGTGAAAATATTTAATATTAAACGAAACTAGAAACAAAATATGAACAAAAATTACAGTAACTTGAAAATTAATTAATTTTCTACTGCTGAATTGATTTATTGGGATATATTGGGGGTACATAATGAGAAGAGGTATCTAGTTCAAATAAAAATTTTACCGCCTGCGATCAGTGTCATCTATAATTTTGGACCCGAAGCTCAGAAAAGTAATAGGAATACAGAATAGGCGAGAAGCTCGTCGAAGACCTGGTAACATAATAGACAAGAACAGCGTGCGATTAGAAAGGATAGAGTTGACTCGGCAGTAAAAAATCACAAATTTCCAAGTTGCTATATTTAATTCATGAACTTTTGTAATTGCATCGAAAAGCTGAAACTTTAAGCAACATTCAATCTATAGTTAAAAAAGTAATAAAATTTTAATCGAAAATATTTCAAGAACTATTGGGTAGTTGCATCTATAATGATATATTTTTTTGAACTGCATGACGAAATCTACAAACCTGCAAAGTTTCACCTAAATCGATGACCCGAAGGATCTGTACTCACCTTTTTAGTAACTTTAAATTATATTTATTGTTACACTTTTATTGTAAATTGTCATTTTATTAAAAATTGTTTATTCGTTAAAATTTTCAATTGTTATATATTAATTTTTACGGTACAATTAGCTATGTGTCATGAAATAAATTTTATATTCAGTAACTTATAAACATTTTTTTTTAACATTTGGCTTACCTGTTCAATGATTCAACTATTACTATCTTCAAATCATTTGTGCCCGACTTCACATATTACGAAAATGGCGGAAATAAAGTCACGCCGCGTCGCGCAAACAGAAGATCTATCAAACGTTGAATTTGAAACTAGTGAAGATGTGGAAGTTATTCCAACATTTGATAATATGGGACTCAGAGATGAGCTGTTACGTGGAATTTATGCTTATGGTATTATGAAAATTTTATTTTTTTATCATACTTAAACATAACCTTATTTATACTACGCCATTTAATATTTAATAATATTTTATACTACTACTTGCAAAATAACACTCAATTCCAGGTTTTGAAAAACCGTCTGCGATTCAACAACGATCTATTAAACCCATCATGAAAGGACGAGACGTGATAGCACAAGCTCAATCTGGAACAGGAAAAACTGCAACATTTTCAATTGCTATATTGCAATCTTTAGATACACAAATTAGAGAAACACAAGTATTGGTCTTGTCACCTACACGAGAATTGGCAACTCAAATACAAAAAGTTATTCTAGCTTTAGGGGATTTTATGAATGTTCAATGTCATGCTTGTATAGGTGGCACAAATCTTGGAGAAGATATCAGGAAACTTGATTATGGGCAGCATGTTGTATCGGGTACACCTGGAAGAGTATTCGGTAATTTAATTATATATAAAATAATATAAGGGTTATTATGAAATATCATAATTAAAATTATTAATTTTCTAATAATTATCAGATATGATAAAGAGAAGAGTTCTTAGAACAAGAGCCATAAAAATGTTAGTTCTTGATGAATCAGACGAGATGTTAAATAAAGGTTTTAAGGAACAGATCTATGATGTATATAGATATTTGCCACCTGCAACACAAGTTGTTTTAGTATCTGCAACATTACCACATGAAATTCTTGAAATGACTAGTAAATTTATGACAGATCCTATTCGTATTCTTGTGAAACGGTAAACTTAATTCTTTTATTACTCAAAGAAACTATTTCATTAAAACTAACTGATTACTATTTATAGTGATGAACTGACCTTGGAAGGAATAAAACAATTCTTTGTGGCTGTTGAAAGAGAAGAATGGAAATTTGATACCCTATGTGATTTGTATGATACACTGACAATAACTCAAGCAGTAATTTTCTGCAATACTAAACGTAAAGTAGATTGGTTAACTGAAAAGATGAGAGAGGCTAATTTCACAGTTTGTTCCATGCATGGTGATATGCCTCAAAAAGAAAGAGATAATATAATGAAAGAATTTCGTTCTGGACAAAGGTATACTATTTTATCATAGATAGCAGTATTACAAATGAAATTTATAATATTCGCATTATTTTATTTTTTAGTCGTGTTTTAATTACAACTGATGTATGGGCAAGAGGAATAGATGTACAACAAGTATCTCTTGTAATCAATTATGATTTACCTAATAATCGTGAGTTGTATATTCATAGAATAGGACGATCAGGACGTTTCGGTAGAAAGGGTGTTTCCATTAATTTTGTGAAAACCGACGACATAAGGATTCTTCGAGACATCGAACAATATTATTCAACACAAATTGATGAGATGCCTATGAATGTAGCAGATTTAATATAATTAAAAAATTTCAAACTTTATTAAATAAGAATTTATATTAAAAAAAGAAAAGAACTATTTTCACTCGAATATTTGAAAATTATATTTTCAATACATTTCTTTGATTGAAAAGAGTTATTTAAAGTGATAATACTCTTTTGAGAGTATATCACTTTTTATGGAGTATACATAAATTTTCATATTTGCATCTGAATATTTAATTTTTAAAAGTACTGTAAAAAGATGTAACAACAAAAATAATGAAAAATTAAATAATTTTGTAGACTATAATAAACTTATGACACAAATATAAAATTAATGTTACTTTGTATTTTTATTGTAATAGATAATATAAAATATGTAAAAACAACATGTTTTAATCTAATTACATTTATCTTTTGCCTTTCATTGTTAATAAAAAAATATATAGCATCTAGAATTACTTATTTTTGAGGAGGAGAAATAATCAATAACTGGTCTCTTGGTTTAGATGGCAGCAGAGCAGTATTTGGTTTAGTATCTTGCAAATTAATTGAAACTCTACTGCATAACTTTATTTAGTCTGTTCTGAGAGAAAAGGTGCTTAGTATTAATTTTTTTATTTCCTTCATAGTAAGATTTTATTATCTTATAACTCATTTGATAATCCTCTTGAATAAGTGACATAGTAATAATTATAAAAGAATAATATTTAAAAATGAAAATAATAGATATAAGGTAGAACTATGTTTTTCACATAATTAGTTAAAAATTAGAAAGCATGGAAACTCAAGAAGATTGCACAATTAGACGAGGACAACCTATTCGACGGTATCAAAATGATTACAAACCTGATGGACATGCTTCAACTTGTAAGCAATAATACTGTCAATAATACTAATTATATGAACATTTTATCCTACGTAATGATATTTTTTATCATTATTTTTTTTATTTAGCCATGATAATGAATCAATCGCAGTACTTAAACGTTGGACGGTCTACCGTAAGAATAGCTGTATATTTAATGACTGGAATCTTTTTAACAATGGATATTGAACATAATTCTACTGCACATCAAATTCTTGCAATGATACAATCTGAAGCAGAGTTAGGATTAACAAGAATTCCTCTATTCACTGGACAAACGGTTTTTGCTTTATGGCTTTGCTCTTCAAGACTAGAAGTTCAATTACGTCCGAATCATAAACCTTTAGAATTGGCTACAAAATGGAACCGTTTAGTAAAAAAATATAGTTCTCAGAGAGATGAATCAGATGAAGAACCTTTACTGTATTTTAGAAGAAATGTATTTCTTTCTCGACTAGATGAAGAGCAAATAAAAGAAGCCAAAATATTAGAACTACTGTATGCAGAAGCTAGGAATAATGTATTGCAAGGTAAGAAATTTTATTGAATCATTTCATAGCTGTATATAATATTTAAAATGTTTCAGGACGTTATCCATGCGAGGGACAGGCTCGGTACGCAAGTTTGGGTGCTTTGCAAGCACGTATTGAACTTGGTCCGTACAATCCTCAATGTCATACATTAGCATTTTTCAGAAGACATCGTGGTCGATTCTTGCCTCATCATTACACTTCTCCCAGTTTATTATTAGGACTTGGTGTTGGATTAGGATTAGTGGGAGGGAAAGGAGCACCAGAAGCTCGCCTGCTTGAACAGTACAAACGAATACCTAATCACACAGGAACTAATACAAATTCGAGGAAGCTTATCAGAAAATATTTAGAGTTTTGTTGGAGTTTGCCGTGTTACGGTGCTGCTTTTTTCCAAGGGCAAATCGAACGTCCTGTGAGAGGCCTTGCATCATGGATTACAAATCGCGATATGCTTGTACTCATTGCTATTAATTCGTCTGGTGTATATATCGTGGATGACATTCAATGCGTAAGGAATCAAATATCGTATGTTTTTAAATTAATTATCTTTTATTTTAATTAGTTAATTCATTATCATTCAAATAATTAAAATTAACTACTCCATAGAGTTTGTTATTGGGTCTAAGGTATTCAGAGTTAAGTTGGGAAATGGCAAAACCTTCGGATGAAGATAATGTGGATTGTTTGCCATGTTTATTTTTACAATTCCCTGTACGGGAAAATGGAGCACGAGTTTATAAAATTCTACAAGTATTCTCGAGACAGGTACGATTTGTTTTTAACGAATTTAAGTTTAATGTTTACAATTATCGAAATTTATTTTATTACCAGGCAATAATGATGGATACATTAATTTCTGGCTTTGCTGAGGAATATCGTCGCCATGGAGTTAACGGTGACGTTACGAATACTGATCGTTTAACGGACCATGCGATAGGTTCCAATGCCGGAAGTTTTACTAATAAACTTAGTAAATTTACATTAGCTACATTTGACGATGAAGGTAAATACATTATGAAAATTTATTAGAAGTTTAAGATTTTTATAATTGAAATATATGAAATTGTTTTAGGTCGATGTATTGGGCAAATGGGTTCTTGGTCTTTTCAATGAGATATTGTTTCTAATATTTTTGACTCAGTATCATCTTTAAGTACTATAAGATGCGGACTATGTCGTAAATGTTCCACTAATATATTATATTTTATAGGAACTAAGTCTCTATGACGATTTAGTCTAGTTTCTAAACTTTGCATATAAAAATTGATTTCGTTTATTTTTTCTAATATTTTTTCTTCTTCTTCGTGGGTTAAATCTCCTTCCTGCAAAAAGTGTATTTCTACATTATATTTTATATCGAACAAATGTATAAAACTAATATCATTTTACGATTATTTGACCTGTGTTATTAATGCTTGCATTTTCATGAGATTCTGTGAATGTTCTTCAAATTCTCGTAAAATGTTATTCGCTCTGCGTATAAGTAACTGCTTGTAATCATGAAGACATTCATATTGCAATGAATTTGCATCAATTTTCGATAATTCCTGTGGGTCTCCTATACGAGCTAGATACGGCTTCAAATAATCTATATCTTCCGAGATATCTTTTTGACTCCGTGTCTGTGACCATTCGCTACTCTATATTTAATACGTACATTAATTAAAATAATTCATTAAAATTCATGTCATTACAATTTTTATACCACAAATGTTTCCATAAGTGCTTCTGGCTCTCTGAGTTTATCGTATATAGATATCAATAATTTTGGCATCAAGTATTCCTTATCCCTTGCCTCGAGAAAGGAGTACGCTTCCTTTTCCGCTGCTCTAACTTGAGATACAGATAAGTCCTCTTCTTTCAGTTGTGTATCTAACTCGTATAGTAAGTCTAAGGTCTTTTCATGGTCATCCAGAGGCTGTTAATGAAATAATAAAATTATTCGCTAATAAATCTTTTAGTAAAATCAATAAACACTTACATTATATCCATATGTCATCGATGGATTAAGAACCAATCGTTCTCCTCTTTCTGCTAATGGTGGTTTTATAAACATCCGCATGGCTCTCGTAAATTGACCTGGATGATAATGATATGTGAGACATATTTCATTATCATCAATAGCGAATTCACGAATTGCTATATTTTTACTTGCTTCAATTCGTTCGTCTCTATTAAATTTCTCGATGATTTTCTGTAAATGTAATCAGATACTTTTAATTAATCAACATTTACGGGGGGATGTTTCAAAAATTGTAAACGAAATATAGAATATATCTATCATTTTATTGAACTTGATATTGTATGAGTTAAAATATCGATCAGGAAGAAAATTGTCTAATAGGTAATTATATGTACTTTGTCACTTTTTATAATTTAAAATAAAATTCCAGCGATTCATTCTCATTACGTTTAAGTAATTGTAAATGAAGACGAAGTATGTGTATAAATATTAAATTTGAATGGCATAAAAAATTGATAGGTTTATGCTATGTTTCGCCTATTTAAAAATTTCATCAAATTCTACCTTACCGAAATATGTCGATAATGAATATCATCTAGAGGAGCGACAGTCTTTTCTCGTGAAAACTGTACATGCCTGTTCTCAAGTCAATTGAAACTCTGGTTTTAATATCAGTATTTTTAATAACTTATATTTCGATTATTTAATCATAAATTATCGCTTACCGGTAATACAGAAAATCATCACGGTTGACGAAATGTTGTATTAAATAATTTGGATGCATTTTAAATCTCGACAGTCCATCGAAACGCGCAATATGATAAAAATCTAAAATTCTTTCGCTATCTATTTCAGTAGGATCGTTAATAAAATATCGATGTTCTGTAAATTTTGTTTGTAGTATAAAAGATTAAAAAGAGATATTATATCAATATGAAAAGTAATTATTTTAATAAGTTACCTTTACACTGATCTGCTCGACCTCTAGCATAATAGTCTACAATAGTATCATTGTTCATATTCTTTCGTGATTCTACAAGATAATCAGATCTATTTGCGTAATTTTCGTATATTTCAATAGCGTTCATGTAATCGTAATCATCATACGTAGTGATTTTTTGTACTAATCCATCTATTTGGAGGTACGGTGCGTACAGTTCAACTTTGGTTTTCTTATAAAGTATTGTTTTTGTACCATTTGGAAATCGTTTCTCAAATTCTCAAAGGTATAATAAAAATCTATTAATATATTCAAGAATTTATACTCGTATTCTAAAATTAAACATTTTTTTGTACCTTCTTCGCTAATATTTATTTTATTTACGTATGAGTGTGGCATATCCAAATGTTTCTCTTGTTGAATAGCGGATTCCTCATCCATTTCTTTTCCACGCGTTGTCCATGGTTCTCCGGGAAGTAAATGTTCCCATAGTTGCACATTCATTAAATCCCATATTATATTCAACGATTTCGTGGTTGATTGCATATTTACCCAATAATTCTTATCATTCCATATACTTTCTATACCCAGGAACAACTGGGCTGTATCATCGTCCGTGGCTTCATAAAATACACCAGTGGTAGACTCAATAAAAAGCGGGCAAGGAATCTCTTGGTCCCTTAGTCCACCCAATTCTGGTAATATTGCTACCCAAGCATGTATTCTATGTCCCCAATACTCATCTACCGGAAGCTGCTCTAATTCCTAAATCCGAATATAATTCTTTTCAGAGAAGAACCATAGAAATCAAAGAAAGAATATCAATATTAATTACCTCGATTAATTTTTGCCGTTCTTTTTCATCCAAAAGTAATTTCTCCTGCAATTTTCTTGCTTTTTCTTCTTCCAATTCTGATAAAAACTGACTTTTGTATTCAGTAGTAAGTTGAAGTTTGTATTTGGTAACGTCGGGTTTTGCTGCTTCCGGTTGAGGTTGCTTTTCCGGTTGTGGTATGTAGGGGCATGATCTCCTTGTCAAATCGCATAGTGTTTGTTCTCTGGATGCGTAACCACTTACTACGAATGCATTATATCCTTGCCCTAATAACAAACTAGTAAGAAATGTCGCGCATTCAAAGCAATTCGCTTTTCGAAACTTCTGCACCCATGTCGGTGAACGCAGCTGTTCCGGCTGTAAACAGAAATAATATCATGAATGTGGTATTATAAGCATAAATATTTGTAATTCAATAGCTAGAAACACTTGTTGCTTTAAATCAACTTTCCGTATTATGAGATAATACAGTAAACTACACATTGTTGGTCAATAAGATGAAAACCTGTTATACGTTATTAGTAGAATCTACTATACCGACTGTCAATAGATTACGCAATACCGCTTACCGTTAGTTTCATGTGAAACGCAGAAGTAATAATAATAATAATACTAAAGAGTAAATACATACCACACATAGCTACTAATCGTCACACGAGAAGAGTACACATTCAAATACGTTGCCGAGCACGTGGTAACTCGTGCGTATTCTCGGTCCCTGACCTA